CGGGCGGGGGAGGGGAAGGCGCCCGCCGAGGTGTCAGTCTGCGGCGCATGCGTGCGGGGCGGGCCTGACCAGGCCTATATATTGAGTTGGCGCCGGCGCCAGCTGAGCCGAGCTGTAGCGGGTCTGGCGGTGAGGAGTTGCTGGCCGCAGCGGGGTGCGGGAGGGAAGGGGACCTGGGCTGGCGGGAGCCGCGGGAAAGGAGAAACGGGGGGCCGAAGAGCTGGGAGCCCGCCTGGGGCGACCGTGTTCCCGAGGTCGGTCCCTGTCTGACAGGATCCGTGTCAGGGGGCCCGGGAGAGGCGCGGGGTGAGGGTACCCCCAGTGAGGGGCCGCGGGAAAGCCTCTCGGGCCACCCTCATTTGGGCAAGATCTCCCGCGCGAGAGGATGGAAGTGTGGGTCCCTTTACGGGGGAAACATTCTTGAACAGAGCTTCCTCATTTAATCCCCCCCCTTTTTCCCTTTTGCTCTACTGGAATTGGGGTCCTGTCGCCCCTGCAAGCGGCACTGCCCGCCGGGCGGGGCCGGGAAGGAGGGAAGGGAGCCTGGAGGACGTGACACCAGGCTTGGGTCCCTCCACCCCCTGCTTCCCCGCCACCGCGGCTCTCCAATTTGGCGCGGAACCGGCTTCTCCAGAGCCCGCTCTTAGAGGCTCGCCCAGGCGCCTGGCGGGCCGAGGCCGGGACGAGCCTTTCCCACCCTTGATGCACAGGGAAATGCGTGAATACCCGAAAAATACTCATCTCAAGGGTGCTGGGGAACAGCGCAGATCTCTGAACGCACTCACTTTCCGAGTGTAATTCGGTTGAGGAAATGAGGGCATATATGTAAAATTATTATGAGATAGTTAATGTATTTCGGAAGATGACCTGGATTTTTTTTTTAAAAGGCTCAGGCCACCTTCTGGTAACGTTAGCTGTTCATTTCTGAATCAATTTTAATTGGCACTTGGAGAACATGAATGAATGAATGTGTTCTTGATTTTGATTTTTCTTCCCTATTTAGCGTTTCATAGACCTTAAAGAAGAGAATGTCGAGACGCAGGTAACACTGTCAGTCTTGGAGACATGTTTGAAAATTAGTTGCTGCCTATGAAATCCATGACTTACTAATTAAACTTCCTGTCTAAAACCCATCACAGTAGCCGTTTACAAGCTAAGCAGCAGCATGCCCAGCCCAGCCAGCCAGACTCCCCGCAAGAAGCCCAGATAATTCAGGCCAAGAAGAGGAAAACAGCACAGGTGATTTAAGGAAAATGAGGGAGAAAGGGAGGAGGTTCTTTCTGAGAGCTTAGCTTATAATGGTCTTTTCTATTCTCCAGGATGTCAAAAAAGGAAAAGAGGAGATCACCAAGAAGCATCAGTACGAGATTCGGGTAATGTAGAACTGGACTGGGTGGATTGGGGAAGGGTACAGTAGTGTGTCACTGCCTTAACGGTGGAAAGATTCCTCGGACACTTGGAATGCTCTCAGAGGTTGACAGGAAGCAGCTGCTGGGAGCTGGCTGGTCCACCAGGCCCGCCTATATACTGCTCTTTGTGCACTTCCAGACTACAGGCGAGGGTCCTAATCGCTACTGAGTTGGCACAAGAAGGATGTGAGATCATTGGCAGCCTGGCAAGCAGCCTTTTGCGCCCCCTTCCTCCTATGTTCACTTGGAGATGGTAATTCTTCCCAAAAGATCCTCTAAGTGACTCCATTTGACTGAATTTTTAAGTCTTTTGCATTCAAGTTTTCTCAACCAGAAAACACTTGTTAAAAAAGAACTTTTATTTAAAAAAAAAAAGTATCCCTGCTAAAATTTCTAAATTCAGAGAACTGCAACTTCTGTTAAAGAACTTCTTTCTTTTAAAGTTATTTTACACTAGAGATGCATTCGTTATTGTTTCAATTTTTAAAGGAATGTCTTGTGGTATTATTTAATTTATGAAGGCTGGTATGAATTCTATGGCTTTAAAATAAGTTTTTCTCTTTCTGTTTTGAAACGACAGAATTGTTGGCCGCCTGTACTGTCTGGAGGAATCAGTCCTTGCATTATTATTGAAACACCCCATAAAGAAATAGGAACAAGCGACTTCTCTAGATTTACAAATTACAGATTTAAAAACCTTTTTATTAATCCTTCACCTCTGCCAGATTTAAGGTAAAAAAATAATGTCAGTAATTTGTTATCAAAGGTTAAAACAGTAAAATTAAAATAATGCCTTCTGTTTTCTTTTGACTTCATTGTAAGACAGAGAAACCAGTTTACTATTTTAGTATTTCCCTTATTGAGAAATAAGTATCATTCTTTGTGAGGCAATATTATTTGCAAGTGTTAGCAACTGATATATTTAAAACTCATACTCTTTTTCACTTGCTTGGTACATGCTTCCAGACTTAGCAGAACTGAACTATTATTTAAATGTAGCTTTAATAGTTGTCTAATTAAGATGGGAACATTTTAAATAGACAGCATTTTCAATTGACTTAACCCACTTAATTCCTTACCAGTTATGACATGACTAAGAGGTACAAGCTTACAGAAAACATTGATGTAATAATTGACATTTAATTTGAATGAGCAAATTCATAGAGTTTGATACTTCAATAAATCATCCCCACCCCTGCTACTTTGTTCCACTTTAACCTCATAAGTGATACTGACCCATAAGTGGTGCTGTTGATGTATATTTCAGTGTTGGGACTTACTTAGCATTGTGTTCATATATTTTAAATATTTTTCTAGTTTGCTTTTAAAAGTTACCTTGAACCATAACTTTTATAAACTATAAGGAAGGATTGTACAGCATTCCTGAAATTTATCAATAAGTGGAAATCTTGGAGTTGACCCCAAGAGCTACTTTTTCCAATTTGTAAGTTGGAGTTGGGTGTCTGAAACGTGGAGTTATGCTAGTGCAAACGGAACTTATACCGATGACCGAATATAAATTATGTGCCCCCTCCCTGCCCTCTGTAGCTGGGGATGTTCACAGGAGGTTTGGCACAACATGCTGCAGAAGGAGAGCAGATACGTACATGGCAAACATTTTCAAGTTCTTCACTCTGACCTGGAACCACAGATGAGGTCAATACTTTTAGACTGGCTTTTAGAGGTATGTTCTAAAATTAGAAATGTCTTGTGTCTATAAGGAAGAACTATTTGGATGGTTGTGTGCTGTCCCTGTGACTTCAGGGTGTGCTGTCCCTTACCTTTTGCGGGGCACAAGCTGTAGTTTGTGGCACCTAAAGTAGAATATGACTTGGGTTTTTTTTCCTCCCTTGTAGTGCTGGGAATTGAACCTAGGGTCTTGTGTGTGTTAGGCCAGCACTTAGCTACAATCCCAAATCAAATACCTTTTTTAAGAGTAAAATCAGGAGTTGGTGGCATATCCCAATGATAGTGTGGTCCTCAGTAACAAAGCAGAGTAAAATCCTAAGAACACATCTTTTAAGATCCAACCCAAAACAAAATCAGAAATCCCTGACATGCCAGGTTTGGGTCTCTGTAAGGTGCTGAAGGTGAACAGTTTACTGGGGTAGTACAAGCAAATGAACAAGCTTAGGCTTCAGAGCCCTCAGACATCTTCTACCTGCATCATCAAAGCCAAATCATGAATTTTGATTTTATACCCTAAACCAAAAGGCTTTGTATACCCAGAGACCCTAAGTCCTCTAAATCCCATTTAGCTTCCTTTATAATGTATTCCTGTTCAGGTCAGGTGTATTGCATACTGAAACCTTGTTTCAGAAGGGGGGGGGGGCATCATACCATAAATGTAAGGAGTATCAGTAAGCCTGGAATCTATAGATCTATGTAAACATTTTTTTTCTTACTTGGGTCCATTCCTTTTCTCTAGATTATTATAAATTCCTTATTATTATTGCTGAGGAAACAATTACTTGATGTTAAAGATTTATAAGTTTCAAGGAAGCTAGTACAGGTTAATGATATCTCAAAATAAGGGGCAGGTGGGGTGTGTGTGTGTGTGTTTATGTATCTTAATGGTGAAATGCTTGCCTAACACACAGTGAAGCCCTGGGTTTAATCCCTAATTGGGGCGAGGATGTAGATTCATTCTAAGGGAGGAAGACTTTGGGTGGGTGGCCTGTGGGTAGAAAAACATATATGGTATCTCAGAAATTATCAGAAATGTTTCCAAGACAATAAAATGAGGTTGTGTTATCAGGTATGACTAGAAGTTTTTACTTTGTATGATGACAAATTTATTTTTAATCTGAATGTAAAAGTAAATTCATTGTTTGAAAAATCTTAAACTGACCATACATGGAAAAGACAATCTTTTTGAAATGCAATATCTATCCCTGGTTTTAAGATTTTAATTATGTATAACCTGAGTGCAGGTGCTCAGGTCAGAAGAGGGAATCTGATCTCCTAGCACTGAGGTTGTAAGCAATGATGAGGTGCCTAGATTCTGGTACTAGGAGTCAGTAGGTTTTGCTTCTGAGCTGTTCACCCCAGGTATCATACTCCTGATTTTAAAATAGTATAAGACAGAAACAGAATAGTTTTTTAATATACTCAGTGTTTGCTTTAAACTCATCTATTACTGTTCCTATTTTCTCATTTCCAGAAAGGAGATAATGGCATGCATTTCATAGAGTAACTCTGAAAGTTAAAAACTTTGCTTTATGTGTGGGAATAGCAATATTTATTCACAATAGTGAAGATGAGGGTAATTCCCACTAAACCAAAGTCATGGAAAGATTTACCACCAATGTTTATATTAGCTTGCAATAAAATACAAAAAGGAAAATTGTAAAAGTAGGAGAATGTGGATGATAAGAGCCTCGCTGTCAGTACATGCTAATCCCTCACTTATAGCGCTGGCATCCTAGAGAGGTTAGCCTCTTTAGTCCATCATTTAGTATAATAAAGGTGACTTTATAACTTGGGTAAGTTCTAAAGATGACATCTGAACACTTGGTTCTTCAGGTATGCGAAGTCTACACACTTCATAGGGAGACATTCTACCTTGCCCAAGACTTTTTTGACAGATTTATGTTGACACAAAAAGATGTAAATAAAAATATGCTTCAACTCATTGGGATTACCTCATTGTTCATTGCTTCTAAACTTGAGGTAAGTTCTTAAATTTCATCACATAGTCTTACTGGCAACCTAGTTTTTAAGTGAACACATTAATCTCAGGATACTATTTTCTGTATTAAATATTTAGGGAACAGGGATTGTTTTATTATAGTGAGGATGGAAGAAATTATCATAGGTCTTTATTTTAGTCTCTAGTTCGTATAGTTTATCTATATTATATTAGGCTCTAGTTTAGATGAGGAATAGTATGACTGACTCATACACAGTCCTCTCCTTCCTCCCCCTGCCCATACTGGGGATTGAGCCAAGGACCTTATCCATCTTTCACAAGCACTTTGAGACAGGGGTCTCTCAAGGTAGCCTTGGCTGGCCTGGAAATTGCTATGTAGACCTCAAAGAAATTTGCTTGCCTCTGCTTCTTGACTTCTGGAATTAAAAAATTACCAGTAACCTGCCTTTGTTTTGTTTTGTTTTTTTAAGGTACAGATGTAACCAAAGCAAGCATAAGCCCAGTATTTTTTTGATAAATATGCTTTTTTACTAAGTTAATGTGTTCAGTTTCTAGACTTTATTGTTTTGAGTGGTCCAAGCTGGCTTTGAACTCACTCTGCAGCTGGAAGATGATGACCTTGGCCTTCCTGTCTCCACTTCCCAAGGAATAGGATTACAGGGCTATATGCAGTGCTAGAATTTTCTACACATTAGGCAAGCACTCAACCAAATCAAATGAACCACACCCCAACTTTTTTTATAGAGTATCTTGTTTTGGTCCTACCACCGGACTAGACAGTATTTAAAAGGTTGCTATTCTTTCTTAATTGAAATAGCAGATCAAGATATATACTGTTTATCAACTAAAATCCAAAGTCAACTCTAGACAAAGAATCCTTGGAAATCAGCACAGTAGCTAGCCACAGATAACTACATACAAAAAAACTTACATGGTTTTGATATATAGTTACTTTGTGAAGCTGTCCTTAAAACTGAAGCCCACATAGTCTGTATATAACTTTTGTTTTTATTTAAAATGCTTAATAAAAATTTTCTAAATTGAAGGAAATCTACGCTCCCAAACTCCAAGAGTTTGCTTATGTCACTGATGGTGCTTGCAGTGAAGTAGATATCTTAAAGATGGAACTCAATATCTTAAAGGTAATAATAATGTCCTTTCTTAGTTGCAGCTTTGTTATATAATAGGAGTGAACTTCAGATATAACAGAGCCAAACTTAGGGGCAATGAGATGACTCAGCAAGTTAATTGCCAGAGAGGCGTGACAACATTTTGATTCCTGGGGAACCCACGTGGTATAAAAAGTTGTCTCTGACCTCTACATGCAAGACACAGCATGTGCCTACCCCAAAAAATAAAATAATTTTGAACAAATTTTTAAAGAGAGCCAAAATTGATGTCTTATTCTGAGCACAGAATTCTATAAGTTAATGCAGCAAAAATACTGGTATTGATTGATGGTTGGTGAGGAACTTAACCTCTCAACTCTACTGTATACATTATGTAATACATGCATATATATGTAGTTACTAATGGACTTTTTAAAATTTCATTGACAGGCTTTAAAATGGGAACTTTGTCCTGTAACAGTCATTTCCTGGTTGAATCTTTTTCTCCAAGTTGATGCTGTTAAAGATGTTCCTAAGGTTCTTCTACCTCAGTATTCCCAGGAGACATTCATCCAGATAGCTCAGGTACTGACCCTGTTTCTGAACATAGCTAATGTTATTGTTGATGACAGATTTGGATAGTGTATTCAGAAGTCCTGGGCTACACAACAAAGTGGCATACTGAGTTAAATCTTACTTGACAAAACCCTTTTGAACCATAAGATACTGTCCCTAGCATTTACATGATTCTAGAAAAGAAAGTCTTAAACTTTTATGAGCATTCCCTCCCCCCGCCTCTTTTAAGGGCTTGGGATTGGAGTAAAATATCTTTGATATAAAATGGAGAAAATGTTCACAGCCAGTTGTCTTTAGAGTTTTATTTGTTTTCAAGACTATGTAGCTCTGCCTGTCCTAGAATTCACTGTGTAGACCTGGCTGGCCTCAAACTCAGAGATTCACTTGTCTCTGCCTCCCAAGTGGGATTAAAGGTGGCATATGCCACTATACCCAACCTGCTGTTATTTAATCTAATTAAACTGCATTACTCAATATTCTATCTGTAGTAGTATTTCACTTCCAGCTCTTTTCCAGTTTATGCCACTTTCTTGCCTGATGAGTCCAAAAACTTCCTGAACAGGAACCGCCTCACCCTCTGAAAATCTAGCCTTTATAGCACTAGCTGCTGTTCGCGTCTTGCATTACCAAGATGATATTTACCTATCTACTTGATGCTAAGAATACTGCATTCTAGCCTGTCCAGTTTACCGTGTTCTTTTTAAAGTGAATTTTCCTGGATTTAGAATCTTACAGTAGCTTCAATAAACTTTAGTGGTGCTCTAACTTCTAGAATGCCTTTATAACTTAACTAGACTACTTCTAGCTTTCCCTGCCTTCAGCTGCTCACCTTGGCTAAGGAAGAAAAGTATTCCTTGCTTATTTCATAATAAGAAATATTACCTTTGGTAATGTCCTTCTATCTCAAACATTCTCTACCCGCCAATTCTTCTGCCTAGTTTATTATCTAATTTAGAAGCCTTCACTAGCTTTTTCCAATCTAGCTGAAGTGCACACCCTGCTAATATATTATCACTCTCTTCCTACAACCCTGTCCTGGTTTTTACTCCTTCCCTGCAATCCTGGGACTGGGCGTGGGTTATGTTTTTACCTTAGAGTTGGCAGCGATGGTATATAAGCTATAAAATAGGAACGTATTCATCTTTTAAATCACTTAAACTTTTTGCTTTTTCCTGGTCAGCTTTTAGATCTGTGTATCCTTGCTATTGACTCGTTAGAATTCCAATACAGAATTCTGGCAGCTGCAGCCTTATGCCATTTTACCTCCATTGAAGTGGTTAAGAAAGCCTCAGGTATGACTATTTTGTTCATTTTTAATGGAACTCAGGAACTTTAACACTTATCAAGCTCACAATTTAATAATTTACTGATTATGTTTTCTGTGAAAAGTACTTTATAGCCTTTAGTGTATCTCCACAAGCAAACTAATATGTGAAAATTAAACTCATTTGAAGTAAATAAGCACAATTCTCTTTATGAATGTGCACTGGTTAAAAAGCTCTGAAGAGGGCCTGAAAATGTGGCTCAGTGCTTAAGAGCACATACTACTCTTGGAGAAGAGCACAGCCTGTGACCCAGCACTTGGGAGGCCAGATCAGGAGGGCAGCCAGCCTGGACTTCAGAAACTAGGAATTCTGCCAGCTTTGGCTCATATAAAGTTTGATAAACATGTGATCATTTCTTTGGGTTTTTAAATGACTTAAAAATTAGAAGCAGAACAAAGTACATTGGCATAACTTTAACATTTTATTAACTTTTCCAATTTAGGTTTGGAATGGGAGGACATTTCCGAGTGTGTAGACTGGATGGTGCCTTTTGTCAGTGTAGTCAAAAGTATAAGTCCAGTGAAGCTGAAGACCTTTAAGAAGATAGCCATGGAAGACAGGCACAATATCCAGACACATACAAATTATTTGGCTTTGCTGGTATGTTTTTTTGTTTGTTTTGGGGATTGGTTATTCTTTTAAAATTCTGTCATTGTATTTTAGATCTTGCTATCTAGGTAAGTCCTGCAACTGATGGAAAGGGTACTATGGATCACTATTTCAAACAGTTATATAAGATCATAAAGGAGAAAATAACAGTCACTCTGATTTTAAAATGTAAAGGAAATAATAAAATTAAGGCAACTTGGTGCCACAAGCAGTAGGGAGGCTGAGGCAACAGGATCATGATTTCAAGGCCAGCCTGGGCCACACAGTAAGACTGTCAAGAAAAATACTGCTGTGAAACAGCTCAATCAAAACCAGCAGTTGAGATAAGAAACTAAAAACGTGTTTTTATTGTTGTTTTGAGAGGGCTTACTGAAGTTAGCTATATAGACCAGGCTGGCCTCGAGTTCATAAAGATCTGTCTGCCTCTGTCTCCTGAGTGCTGGGATTAAACAACTGGCTTAAGTCTTAAAGTAAGCTTGATAGTTTCAAATAATATCTGTTTTACCTTACTATATACTTGTTTTATCTTAGCTGTTAATTGTGGTATAATTCCTTCATGTGTACAGAGTGAAGTGAACTATGTGAGCACCTTCAGAAAAGCAGGGCAGTTGTCGCCAGTGTGTAATGGCGGGATTATGACACCACCGAAGAGTACTGAAAAACCACCAATAAAACCCTGAAGTTAACATCAAATTGGAATTGAAAAAATACTGAATAAGGTTCATACAAATGAGTAAGTTTACAGGAAAGTAGTGTTGTGGCTATCCTTGCCCACTGAGGAGTTACACTGCCATTTTATTTAAAAACTACATCAGTTTGGTGGCACTAAATGCCTAGGGTACATGAAGCCGTGGGCTCAATCCCCAGCACTACAAAAGAACAAAACAAACTTCCAAAAAAAAAAAAGTTGGCACTAAAGAAATTTCCTCTAGCTGTTCATAAGAAAAGAGGACTTGTTTACAGGGGTGACTTCACACCCAAGGACAGTGGCTAGAAGCCAGCAACAATTGGTGCTATAGCAGTTTGTTTGTTACTGTGTTTCTCTTGATAAAGTAGGATTTTATCATTGGACTATGGACTAAACTAGTGATACTCAAAAGATACATCACTGACACACAACTTTGATTCCTAAGTTCCTACACTCTTGAATGGTGCAATTTGTCTTTTGAAAATGAAATTTAAACTTATTTACAAAGAATGTTTTGTAATACAGTGACTAATTTATCTAAAGCTGTTTGTAACAAACAATGATAAAACTTGAATTTTTACAAATGGTGAAGCTCAATCTGTTTTTAGTTTGTCTTACCATAATATTTCTTAATCAGTAAGGCATGAACCAAATGTTTAAACTGTTCTAAACAATGGGAGAACCAAAGAAATTATAAACAAGATAAATGCTTTGGCTTCTGTGGGGTTTTACTTGATCTAAAGGTTGCTTTATGACCTTTTCATACATCACATCTGGGTAAAACTTTAATGCCTTTTCAAACTATTTACATAGGAAAGTCACTTTATTGCACTAAGCTACCCCTAAGTATTTTTGAAATATAGTGTGAAACTAAGGCTTTATGTTTGCAAAACTGGCAGTCCATTTTTAAGCCCCATCTTATGAGATGAACTTAACATATGACCTAAACTTTCTATTTTCTATGGCAGAAAAAATATTAAATGTATACTGACTCCTAGAAATCTATTTATTTAAACTTGTTGTATATAGATTAGCTACTTATACATTAAATATTTTAAGTTAGCCTTTGAAAAAGAAATTTGGGCCTAAAAAGTCAATTTCATTAGAAAAAAATGACGCCAGGTTGCCAGACATGAAAACCTTTTCTCCTTGAAGAAATTGTGAACTATTTGTTAATGTGTGACGTTGTTGTATAGTTTTTGTTAATAAAACTAGTTTGCTTCAGTTTTTGTCTGAAAAGAAAACACCACTAAATTGTACATATGTATTATATAAACTTCATCTTTTAATACTGTTTACTTTTAGCCCATGTTTAAAAAATAAAAGTTTAAAAAATTAACTAACTGCTTAAAAGTAAAGTTTTGCCATTGCTTGTAGAAACTTCTTTTTCCTTCTCTGTGCTGCCAGCTGCAATACTTCTTCAGGGTTGCTCGCGTTCAACTCTGTTTGGCCAATGGCTTTGATCTTAAAACAGAAAAGTATTATCAGAAATTTAGTTAACAACAAAAAAAAATCAAGTCTTCCTAGTAGTACACATAAGTCAAAGTTAAAATAACTAAACAATTATAAAATATAAGAGCTACAGAAAAATCAACAGCTGTTGCACTGAAAGGAAGAGGCTGACTGGGGGTGGGATTACAAACCACACAGAAGGACATCAAAAGAGGCCATGGACAAAACGGGTAATAGTAAATAATAAAACTGGAAAATGACAGTGTAGATGCCTGACACAGATTAAAAGTAGTAAGTAAAACTGGCTAGAGTGGCCTCTAATGTGATAAAAGATACGGGGCTTTAAAAATAATATAGTTGGGGGTCAGGTATGGTAGCACACACCTTTGCCTTAGGCATATGATCTCTGTGTTTAAGACCAGCCTAATCTTCATAGTGAGTTCCAGGGCCCCTAGGGTTACATAGAAAAACTGTCTCCTCACGGGCTATTGCTACTGTCCTTGGTTGCCTCCCAAAGAGAAAGGTAAATTACCCACTCTTGAAGACATGATATACTTCACAGGGCCCAGAGTCTCCTGACCTGCATCTGATCTAAAAGTCTCGTGAAGACTAGCTCCCGTGGTACCAGAAGGCATCATACAAGCTTCCAAAGGAAGTAAGCAAGCAGCAGTCCTACTTAGCTGTGCTTCCTGTGAACCACAACCAGCATGGCACAATAACCCCAAGGGTGCAGTAGTGTCACTCACCCTTGGTGGTAACTGACAGCTCTCTAATCGGACCTAAGATCATGCCTTGTACTGGAAACCTGTCCAACTCCCAAGGCTACTGAAGCCATGGATCTTGAAAGAGTCTACAACCACTTTATTGTCCTCATAACCACTTTATTGTCCTCATACCCACAGATAAGTGTGGTCCTCACTCTATCAAAGAAACTTCTCTTTGCACCAGACAGAGACCATTACAGAAAACCTCAACTGATCAAAGTTGAAACCCAGTCACAACAGATATATCTACAAAGTAACTCCCACACTTAAGACTCAGGAATCATTTTGGAAGAGGGGTCTTAAAGATTTTCCGAACAAGAGGGTAAGGGAGTTTGCTGTGAGATTGTGTCTCCTAGGAGTGTTAGGAGCCCATAAACCTTGACAGAATGAGCTGAACAAGGACAATACGCATGCTAACTAAAGTGGACAGGGCACAGCATACAAGGCCTCAATCCCAAGAGTGGGAAAAATGGCCCACACCAGGGAAGAGTCCCCATCTGTTTATCATTGTGTATATACATACACATACATGCATGTAACAATTACTCTTTTAAAAGCCATGAATTTGAGAGAAAGGGTATATGAGAGGGCTTGGAGAGAGGAAAGGGAGGGAGAAATGATATAATCTCAAATGTTTTTTAATGATGCAGTATAAAAATACCAAGGGACTACTAAAAGTATTGCTTTCCAACCCCAGGTAAATTAGGAATGGGAGAACAGAAGCAAGCTGGCTCATTGGTCAAAGTACTTGCCATGCAAGCCTGATGGTACCACGGTAGAACTAGTTTCCCAAAAACTACCTTCTGAATTCTGTGTGTATACTGTGGTACACATCACACACATGCAGTAATAATAAAAGAAATAGAACAGGGGCTAGGGAGACACATTTGTAATTCTAGCATGCTCTGTGAAGAGATGGGAAGTCAAGACAATTCCCAGAGCCCTACAGACCCACTGTCTAATACACCCAGCAATGAACAAAAGAGCCTATCTCAAAGTTTCTACCTTCTGGCAAGGATCAACACACAAGGTTATCTTCTGATCAACTCTTGTGCCCCATAGCATAAGTTAAGTAACACTTAAACACTACAAACACAGTGTATACACAGCATTAGTAGATGGAAGAAGGTATGGCATTCAGTCAAGTAGGTTAACTGTAGGCCAGTCCCAATTAAATGTTTCCTTTATAAGAGCTCCTGGGGTCATGGTGGATCTTCACAGCAATAGAAACCCTAAGACAGCAAGATGTTCGGTGGGTAAAGCTTTGCTGCCAAACCTGATATCCTGAGTTTTAATCTTTGACACTCAGATAATAGTGAGTATCCTCTGGCCATTAAAATACACCCAAACATACACAGAAATGTTAAAAAAAAAAAAAAAAAGAAAAGAAAGAAAGAGAAAAGAAAAGAAAAACGAGTAAAATTTAAGTACTTATTCAGTAATTGTTGGGCACCATTCTAGTTATCTATGAACAAGTCTTCACAGAAGAGTAGATAAATATATACCATATCAAATGTTGGCAGATGTTACAGAGAGAAAGAGAATAAGAGTAGGAAGGTGGTGGGAGGCATGCTAATCTAGAAGATGTCCAGCGAAGGCTAACCACTAAAATAGCAAGGCAGAGACCTGAGGAACCTGAATGCTCTGGGATAAGAAAACACCAAAGGTCCCTCCCCAGAGAAGCAGTCTTCTTGACATGTTTGGACAATAGGATATTTGTATTGACATTAACAAAGGGAAAAACTAAACCCGTAAGTCACAATAAGGATCCAGTGAGATGAAAGCTCACTTGAAGATTTAAAACAGGTAAATACAGTGCTCTAATAGTTTAAAGTCACCTAACATTACAAGTAGATAATGATAACTAAATTCTGGCAGTAAATGGCTAAACACAGTCTTTGCTCAATGGTACAAATCTAAATATTCTGAAAACAACATCACTGAAGAAAGGGGTAAGGCAACTTACAGCAATCTGTCTTTTATCTGTTTCTCCTCTTTTATGATGAAGATCTAAATGTGTCAGTTAAGAATAATAAAACTGATTGTTATATCATGATAGGATCTCGACTCTCTTTAAGGCTGGTGAGGTGGTTCATTTGCTGTCAAATCTGATGATGCGAGCTCAACCCCAAGACTCATGGCAAAAGAGTATTGAATGTGTGATATTCACACTGCAGAATATGCACACACACACAATCATATGTAATATATTTTTAAAATTCTGTTTCTATTTTAGATTGGAAAATTTGTTCCTTAAAATACTTTTCTCTTTTTTTTTTTTTTTTTTTTTTTGGATTTTCAAGTCAGGGTTCTTCTGTGTAGCTCTGGCTGGCCTCGAACTCACAGAGATCTTCCTGTCTCTCTCTCTGCCTCTTGAGTGTTGGGATTAATTGAGTGTTGGGATTGTGTTACCTAACCCCCGGTGAAATACTTTAATTACAGACATGAACTGCTGTAATATCACATTCACTGATAGAAGGATACAGGTCAAGTACTCCAAGATGGTGACATCCCAAATGTAGTCATAGTAGGAGTCCATAGCATCATGGCTGCAAAACAGAATCTCATCACTTATGCCAAAAAGATTCAGCTTATGCCAAAAAGATTCAGCGCCATGTTTCAAAAAAAAAAAAAAAAAAGCACAAATCCATACCTGTTTTGTTCCTGCAATGACTTGAAAGCTGTCTTGTAGTCAATTTCTCTGAGGAACTGACATAAAATTGCCACCTGTGGAAACAAATTTTTAAAAAGGATAACGTGACCCCTCCTGGTTTGGGAGAGTAATTTTTATTTTTTTCACATTTATCTTATTCTATGTAGTGGGTGTTTTGTCTTCATGTACATCTAAGCACCATATGTGTGCCTGGGGCCTGCAAAGGCCAGAAGACTACGTAAGATCCCCCAGAACTGCAAGGTGGTGGTGGTGGTGGTGGTGCAGGTCTTTAATCCCAGCACTTGGAAGGCAGAGGCAGGTGGATCTCTAAAAGGTCAGCCTGGACTACAAAGTAAGTTGTAGGACAGAAAAACCCTGTCTTAAACAAGAGCCCCCAGACCTGGAGTAACAGATAGCTGTGAGCTGACAGGTGGTACTGGGACATGAGCCCAGATCCTCTGGAAGAGAATGAGTTCACTGTCCTTAGACGACAAGTCAATAATTCAGCCCCGCAAATATATTCTTTAGAATACTTGAAATCATGCTGGATAAAGTCAGCTCATATTTATAGATCCCATTTAATTTTTGTCTAAAAGACCTTTATGCAAGATTTTTGTGTCTATCTGAACCACAAGCTAGGTCATCAATAACCTAAATCACATTTGAAAACTAAGCTGAAGATGGGAGCTGACAACAAGCAACTATCCTAGCATTCAAGGACATAAATCACATGGAACCATACCTTTAAGAACTGGCAGATATAGGAGGTTATTTTTAAAGAAAACATAGGCCACCAGTCTCTAAACACAGAAAGCATCTAGTTCAATCACGCAGATAGGTCTGAGTGCTTATCTTGGAACTGAGAGTGTTGGGTCAGTGTTACAACACTTGGTAGAATTTGTGAGGATCAGGGTTCATCTCTGATATTAGAAAAAGCAAAGGTTAAAAATAAAAATTGAGGGACTAGAGAGATGGCAATGAGGTTAGGAGTATTGGGTGCTCTTCCAGAGGTCCTGAGTTCAATTCCCAGCAACCACATGGTGACTCACAACTGTCTATAATGAGATCTGGTGCCCTCTTCTGGCCTACAGGTAGACATGCAGGCAGAACACTATACTTATTATATATAAGTAAGTCTTAAAAAAATTGAAAGCTGGGCGTGTTGGCACATGCCTTTAGTCCCAGCACTTGAGAGGCAGAGGCAGATGGGTCTCTGTAAGTTCGAGGTCAGGCTGTGTCCTGAAACACAGTGAGTTTCAGGACAGCTAAGGCCACACAGAGAAATCCTGTCTCAAAAAAAAAAAAAAAAAAAAAAAAGTAGAGACTATTTGTATTAGTTCATATGCCTTAAAATTTTATCTTTTTAAAAAATAAAACACAGGACAGTCAAAGGTACTTAAGAATCCTTATCTCAACAAACAAACAAAAAACCCAAAACAAACAAAAGGCCAGTGGAGGTAGCGAACACCTTTCATTCCCACACTTGGGAGACAAAGCAAGTGGATCTCAGTCTGATCTATAAAGTGAGTTCCAGGACATCAAGACATAGAGAAACTCTGTCTCAAAAACCAAACACCCACAGATGTCTAATATCTTTAGGGAATTGTATAACCATCCCCATTAGTTCTAAAGCATATTAAAGGGATTCAAAGTCAAGTTCAGGAACTCCCCATTCTCTCTTCCATCAAGCCTCTGATAGGCAGTGGACCACACTTTGTCTTGACAGATGTGCCTATTGTGAGCATTCTTACAAATGGAATCAAAATCTATATAAGTCCTGTCTTTCACTTAGCAGTGTGTCAGTTAATCCATGCTGTATTACATCTGTAATTCATTCCTTTATATAGTTGCAGGATTTTGAAGTACAGATACATTACACTTTACTTAATCATACGTTAGTTAATGAACACTAGGATGTTTTTTTCTTTATTTTTTTGGCTCTGGTGAATGTTGCTGCTACGGATATCCAAGTACAACCTTTTCTAATTCTCTTGTGTATTTAAGTAGAACAGAAATTGCTAAATAGTTTGCCAAAGCTGCACCTTTTCAAGTTCCTAGCAGCGTGAGGATTCTAATTCTTCCACAACCCTGGCTGACTGCATCTTAGCAGAAGGCCCACCTACATCACCCAATGGCTAGTACACATACCTCATCATAAACATAAGAAAGCATAAAGTGCTTCATCTGCAGTTAAGTTTAATGGTCAATGCTTACAAATTCCTACCTGCATCTAGTACAGTTCTATAAATACTAAGAAAAGAAAATGCTAAACTACTGACAGCCATTCTGATACAAAATAAAATCTACTTGCCAGCATGCATTTACATGTAAGCACGTGAATAGCAACTAATGTCACAACATCATAAACTAACCTGTGTGTGACAATTCAGCAGGGAGCAGCACTTTATCATTCGCTTTATCACCTACAAAAAAACAAGTATTTAAAAATTAGCTAGCACTAACTGCAATACATGTGCCAGTCTGGAACAAGATGTCAACAGTAGAGGAGCAGGAAGTCTAAGAGAGGACAGTAGCTGTGTAGAACTCAGGGCTTCCCATTCACTTTCGCTAGTTTATAATGCTATAAAGAAAAAATATTTAAATATTACTTTTAAAACTTGTGAAATAGGGGCTGGAGAGATGGCTCAGTGGTTAAAAGCACTGCCTGCTTTTCCAGAGGTCCTGAGTTCAATTCCCAGCAACCACATGGTGGCTCACAACCATCTGTAATGAGATCTGGCGCCCTCTTCTGGAGTGCGGGCATACAAGGAGGCAGAATGTTGTATACATAATAAATAAATCTTTAAAAAAAAAAAAGACTTGTGAAATACTGAAAATTTTCATTGTTAAACTAGTGGTCTAATCAGATTTAATAGTAAAATATATTAAAAGAGCAAAATATAATGTGGTTTGAGTTAGAGAAGGAGGGCGGAGTATGTCAGCAAGCCAAGTACATCTAGAGAACTAATGGACAGCATGGGGAGTTCACTTGTCTTGGAGGCTACAGATGTAGTTCAATAGTATAGCTCTTGAGTGGCACACAGGAAGTCCTGGGTGAGACACTAACACTGGAGAGATCATAATGGTACTACATGTGCACTAAAAAAAATCTAGAAAGAATAGATTCACTGACCATGCAGAGTGGTGTACACCTCTGATCTCGGCATGAAGGCAGCAGAGGCAGGCAGATCTCTCAGTTTGGGGCCAGCCTGGTCAACAGAGTGAACTTCAGACCAGCCAAGGGTACACAGAGACCCTGTCTCAGAAACAAACAGCAACAACAATAAAGAGTAGGTTTTGTTTGCTTTTAAAGATTTGTAAGTACACATGACAGCCCATTCCTGACTTCAGGTATTCTTATCACAAAAGGGGAGACCATGAAAGGCAATATCACAAGCATCGTAGATATTGGTCCTAAAATGGAGATGCAAGCTGGGCATGGTGGCACATGTCTGTAATCCTAGCCCCGGGGAGGCTGAAGCAGGTGGATCACTAGACGTTCCAGGCTAATATGGGCTATATATCAAGACTATCTCCAAAGGACAGGAAACAAATGGAGAGCAATAGGGTCTAAGCCATCAACCTGAGTGTTCTCATCACATACACAGCAACAGCAAAGCTCTACACTGAAGTTAGGCAAGAAGCAAGCAAGCCCACAAAACAACTTACTTGATCTGTATAGACATCAGGAGGCACAGCCTTGTTAAAGAAGTCAGAGCACACAGCTCCAGCCTGGAGGTAATAGTGAAGAGCTGCCGAATGCTGATTTGTTGCTGTAACAGGAAGCAGAAGCAAACAGTGACTTGCTAATAAAATACAAGAGTAGAAACAGATTCAAACAAGTTAAAGATAAAATTCTGCGGCCAGCAAGAGGGCTCAGCAAGTAAAGGTGCTGCCACCAAGCCTGACCGCCCAAGTTTGATCCTTGGGATCCACATGGTAGAAAGGGAGAAGTGACTTCCACAGTTGTTATCTGAAGTATCTGAAGTCTACATGCATGCCATGTACACACATAAAATGTTTTTTTGTTTTGTTTTGTTTTTTGGAGGGGTTAGGGTTTTTTTTATGGTGTTTTGAGACAGAGTTTCTCTATGCATCAGCCCTGGCTGTCCTGGAACCCGCTCTGTACATCAGGCTGGCCTTGAACTCACAGAGATTCACCCCCCTCTGCCTCCCAAATGCTGGGGTTAAAGGCATGCACCATCACCACCTGGCACACAAATGTTATTTTTAAAAACGATAAAACTTGGCATCTGGCTGAGGAATGATAACACTTTTTATTCAGAGTAATATTGTGAAAAACTGCCTTTATATATTTAAAAAAAATCAAAAAACAGAAAGACTTTTCAAAATGATACAATAAATTATTTACATACTGAGACTGATTAGCCAAAATCTAGCTCAGCTTTCTCATTAAATTTATAGTAAAGGGGGCTGGAGAGATGGCTCAGAGGTTAAGAGCACTGGTTAAGATCCTGAGTTCAATTCCCAGTAACCACATGGTGGCTCACAACACAATCTGTAATAAGATCTGGCGCCCTCTCCCGGCTTGCAGGCAGACATGCAAGCAGAATAGTACAGGAGATTGTGTGTGTGTGTTTGTGTGTGTGTGTGTGTGTGTGTGTGTGTGTGTGTGTGTGTGTGTTGTTTTGGTTTTCAAGACACAGTTTCTCTGTGTAGCCCTGGCTATCTTGGAACTTTCTGTAGAGCAGGCTGGACTTGAACTCAGAGATCCACTGGCTCTGCCTCCTGAGTGCTGGGATTAAAGGTGCACACCACCACCTGATAACTACAAGATTTATTATAATGGAAATTTTTATTTCCCATATTTTCAGACTGGAAATATATCCTAATTTTTGAATGTATCTTAGAATCTACATATCCAGTGGCAATAAAACAATCGGGTTTGGCAATGCATTCTTTGGAAAGCTAGGATGAAAATAAGTGTTAAAAACAAGCAGTACCTGGCTATTGTGGTGCACAACTACAATCCTAGCACTTGAGAAGTGGAGGCATCATGAGAGAAGTTTACAGCAAACCTCAGCCAAGTCATGAATCCCAGGCCAAAATGGGCTACAAAAGACCATATCTCAACCCTTACAACAACACCCAGATGCCGGGTGGTGGGGTGGTGGCTCACACCTTTAATCCCAGCACTCGGGAGGCAGAGGCAAGCAGATCTCTGTGAGTTCAAGGTCAGCCTGGTCTGCAAGAGCTAGTTCCAGGACGGGTTGCAAAGCTACAGACAAACCCTGTCTGGGGGGGGGGGGGGATGGGAGGGGAAACAAAAATTATTGGATACATGACAAAGTTTTATTTTTATTATTTCTTGTACTTTTAAATTTTGAAATTCCTTTTTAAAACACACTGATCCCAAAACTGATACCAGTCAAAAATTTTATCTGTATAGTAATATGAATTTTGGAAGCCCCATTTTAACTTGGAAAGCCTATAAACACAGAATTGTTTATGAGGGTGGTAGACATTAATTTCCAAGAATACAGATTGTAGAGTTATTTATGTATCATTGTGTGTGTGTGTGCACACGCATGAGCACACATTTGCTCCAGAGTCCGAGACAGGGTCTTACCATGTAGCCTTAGCTGGACTGGATATTACTATGTATCTTGGACTGTAGCGATCTCCCTATGTCAGCCTCCCAAGGACTGAGATTAAAAGGATGAGGAACCAACGTAGTTAGAATTTTTACATTTATTTATATTATTTATTTGGGTGTGTGCGCACCCTAGCACATATGAAAGTCCATATGGGTCCTGGATATTGAACTCAGGTCATCAGGCTTGGTAGAAAGCCTTTACCCACTACACCATCATTTTCGGCCCAAGGTAGGATTTTAAACAGCAAACTTACAAACAACGCCTCGCTGACATTGCGAGACCTCAGGAGATGGCTCAGTGATTAGGAAAGAGTGCATAGCCCTATTCCAGAAGACCTGGCACAAATAAAGCATAAAGCAATGAATCTCTCACTTACCAAAATAAATATCTGCTTGAATGATTAGCCAAGCATGGTTGTTTGGATTTATACTGAGTGTATATCGAACTAGTTCTTTCACTGTGATTGCCACGGCTTCAAAATCCACAGACTGGAGGCTGAAAAAAAGTATCACACATTAATCTCTATTTTCACAGTCTGTTTTAAATTCCACACATGCATTGAATATAAAACAAAGACACAGTCAGAATATAAATAGGAACACTATGACACAGCCTTTACCTCGGTTTAGCATTACTTAGAGCTACAACGGCTGGAATACTAACAAACACTGTTATGTGACCTGAAGTCTACCAAGGATTTCTCTCAAGAGTGTGCTCTGCATTGGGTGTTTCACTGGCCATTATGAAGTTACAAGTTAGAGAGGCAAATACACATTTCAGTGCTTTACACAGCAACGCAGTCAAACACACCAGTAGGGGAAGGGCCAGATGCTCTGGCCTGCATACAGCCAGGCCAGCACCCAAGAAAGCGGTCCCTTGCTCCTCTTTCCTAGAAGCCAAAAGCTTAGTGAAAAGGGACCCAGGTCTCAGATTCGGAAGCAGATAAGGCTCAGAGGCTGCAGCCCTTTACAAGGGATGTGACAGAGCAATTCCGTGCCTAAGGGTTAGATTTTATCATGGCTCACAGCTACACCAGCACAATGAAGAAGACCGGCAGTACTGTCAGCAAACAACCAGTTCTACACTTACAGCTAAAGGAATTAAGCTGACTTATGTTATTTTGCTAAATCTATAAAATGTTAACAGGTCAAAGAGTCCTGTCTATGTAATAACCAGTGTTAAACAGTAACACTTAATCCAGTGCTGCCATCTTAGGAATCCATAAGAACTCTTGATCAGGCAAAATATGTTTTCTGCTCAAATCTTTTCTTTTTTTCAGAATCAACTTACATTACAGTATTACCATCATAAAAGACAGCAATTAAGTCTGCACTAACTTATTAACTCTCACATTTCAAGGGTAAATCCTATACCCATTTTAGCAATGAAGAATTCAGCAAAAAAGAAAAAAAAAAAGCAAGTTGCTCACAGTCACATACCTAGTGCACAAAGAGGCATGCTTCAGGGCTCCTGTACAAGCTACGTTTGCTTCTTATGAACATGAGCTGGAAACCGACTGTGACAGTCGGGATGTAACCCACAAGAAGTGACAGAGGGAACAGATTTCCTCACTAAAGCCAGTTAAAAAGACAAAACCAGGGGCTGGGAATGTAGCTCAGGTGAAGATGTTTGCCTAGCACTGGTTCTGAGTTCAAGCCCCAGTACCGTTCAAGACAAAGAAGCAGGACACATAATTGTCTGATTCTTGGAATGCTGTATCGTATAGCAAATTGTGTATAAGTTCAGAAACATACACAGTAAAATCTGCAGCCTGGGTGCTGGGGCGCACATTACTTAGGTAAGAAAACACAGTGCTCCTTTGCAAATAAGCAAGTGGACAGAGGTCACGGAGACACACTGTCCAGACTGCTGTACGTGACACAGCTGCTCTCCTCCCTCCCTCATTTTTGGGGGGGAAAGGATGGGGGGAACTCACTATGTAGCCCAAGCTCACAGCCTGCTGAGTGCTGGGATAACAGGCACACAGCACTGCCAGACGCAGTCCAAGAAGGCAGTTGGAGGAGATTCTAAGTGCTTGTGTGGAAACAAAGAAACCAACACAAGAGTCTTGAAAACTACGGAACTGTTCCTGGATTAAGCTTTTGTGCTCTCCCATGGGTAGGGGTCTGAGTGAGTCTACTTGAGAATATTCATTGCAACAGGCTGTTTTGTCCATGGGGCTTTACAGAAAAGCATGCGACTTGTCTGCCACAGCTTGCCTTGTAACAGGGTCACTTTACTCTGTGACTCTTATCCCTCAGAGTACAAACTGTCTGATGCTCTGAGAAAGTTGGCTACTGCATGAGACTTTAGTCCAGCTCCATCCTCCCGGGTCCCAGTGCTCTAGAGTGATGAGCACAGCACACTGCAGACCTGCTCTTCAGTCTCCGTGCGACGGAAGACTATTCCTATCCACTGTGCTACCGTCCTCCCACCTACCAAATCCGTTTCTCCTTAAAGATGTCAGAAAGATTAAAACTGAGGTTGGGAACAGCAAAAGCGCAGGAGGACAGCGGAAGTCTGAGACAAAAACCACACAACTGCCAAGATGCTATACTCGGTAACTGGGGAGACCGAGACAGGACTGAGAGTTCAAGACCGGCCTAGACTACAAAAAGAAACCCGTGCACAAGCAGGAAGGTGAATGGATGGGCTGGTCCTATGACAGCTAAAAGGGATAGGGAGACTGATAAAAATCATAGCAAGAGAAAAGACCTACAAGGAATTAGAAAACAAATCACTTTTATAATGACAAGGAAGATAACAACAGTAGCAGAAAAACACTAAGACGTCTGTAGAATCCTCTACACTCGCTGCCTTTATCGCAGGATATCTATGCCAAAAAGGAAGATTTCTAAATGTATAGTTTATTCTAAGCATAGATGACTACTTACTTAGGAATGGAAGATGGCCAAATAGAAATGTGTTCAGCTGTGATATCATTCACAATGTCCTCCTTTTAGAAAGAAAAATGTGCTTTTTATTTTTTAAGCAGTATGACTTTTAACAATATCTTTCAAATAATTTTTAACTGAAATTACAAAATACTGACCCGAACATTGTGAAGCTTCACGAACAGTGATAAAATAATAGTCAAAACCAGTGGTTCCTATGAGAAAGAAACACAGAATATTTAAAAAGCATGTGTGCTGCTGCATGTGTCCTGTCAGTCTGAGAGACAATAAGTACTTTTTGTTTTCCTTCAAGACAGGGTTTTTCACTGTTTTTGAACTAGCTCTTGAAGACCAGGCTGGCCTCAAACTCACAGGGATCCACCTGCCTCTGCCTCCCAAGTGCTGGAATTAAAGGCATGCGCCACCACCGTCCAGCCCACGTACTTTCTTACCAGTAGAGAATCTGGGATCTACAGTGCAGCATATTAAGTATCACTTTCAGTTTCACAATAACGTCACAGCGTAATATACATTGAAATCATCACATTTAGATCCCTGGCTTATAATCACTACTCTATCTTTTTGTCTTCTTTTCTTTCCCGTGTTTTTGGGAGAGAATTGCTGGGAAACTGAACCCAATCCCGAGCAAAGACTCAGCCACTGAGTACGCCCACATCATACCTTTGATGTGACTTTCGGAATCTTCCCAAAACTTCTAGCTACTTCCAAAATGAAACTATGTATTTGTTTAAAATGGTATTTAAAAGATGAAACCAGAATTATGTCACCAAAGCTAACCTAAGATTTAGTTTTAAAAGGGCCAACTATATTTATTAAAACCAGCAAGCAAACTTCATGTCTTGATTCAGATTATCCTTGCTCAATAAAGATCACTCCAGACAAACACGTAAGGGATCAACCAGAATCTGGAAATCTGATAAACCCAGTAATTATATTAAAAACTTACCCGTAATTTTTTGATAAAAGAAAGTAATTCACTCCTACAAAAAAAGTATATATATTTAGTATCAGACATTAAAATAACATAAAGAATGCAACTGATGTAATGCTTTACTCCTCTCTCTTATGTGAACAGTATATCTAGCCAGGCATAGTGGTGCACACCTTCAATCCCAGCACTGGGGGCGGCAGAAGCAGGTGGATCTCTGAGTTCAAGACCAGCCTGTTCTACAGAGTGAGTTCCAGGACAGCCAAAGCTACACAGAGAAACCCTATCTCAAAAAACCAAAAAGAAGTGTAAGACAACCCATTGTCATAATCACACAAATGCCTCAATATTATCCAACCACAGACATTGCTGATTTTGAAGTGACACAGAAGAAACTAAATTGCTGGGGCTGGCAAGATGGCCCAGTGGGTGAAGGCACTTGTTGATAAGCCTGATGACCTGAGCTGGAGCCTTGGAACACACGTGAGAAAACTGGAAAACACCCACTTGTCCAGTTGTTCTCTGACCTCCACACACACGCAACCACCCCCAAGCAAAACATGCAAATAAATAAATTGCTGACAGTCTTCTTAAACAAAAAGGAGCACCTCAGAATTCCTTTAACATTTATTCATTGAACACTAATGCACACACAGACAGAGGCGCATGCGCGCGCACACACACACACACACACACACACACACACACACACACGGCATGGTACAACTGTGGTGAACAGGAGACAATGGGCAAGTGCTAGTTTTCGTCCTCCAGCATAAGGGTAGGACGGAATTTGAGGTATCAGGCTTGGTGGAGAATGCCTTTACCTAGTGAGCATTTCACCAGCCCAGAATTTTTTGTTTTCCTTTTTGGTTTTTGAGATAGGATCTCACTATGTAGCTCTGGCTGTCTTGGAACTCACAATATAGACCAGATTGGCCTCGACCTCAAGAGAGATCCACCTGCTTTTCTGCCTCCCAAGTACTGGGATGAAAGATGCATTCCACTGTGTTCATCTCCAGAATTCTTTTTTTTTGGGGGGGGGGGGTGTCAAGACAGGGTTTCTCTGTAGCTTTGGGGCCTGTCCTGGAACTAGCTCTTGTAAACCAGGCTGGCCTTGAACTCAGAGATCTGCCTGCCTCTGCCTCCCAAATGCTGGGATTAAAGGCATGCGCCACTACCACCCAGCTCCAGAATTCTTAAAATCTTGAATTAAGATTATTATACATATATATTGCATATACATATATATACACATAATATATGTACATGTGTGTGTATATATATATACACACACAATATGTGTGTATACAATATATGTGTATAATGTATTAGTTATACAGCTTGGGTTTTTTTTTCAAACATATTGGTTTTTTTAAAATATTTATTTATTTATTTGTTTATTTATTTATTTATTTATTTGTTTATTTATTTATTATGTATACAATATTCTGTGTGTATGTCTGCAGACCAGAAGAGGGCACCAGACCTCATTACAGATGGTTGTGAGCCGCCATGTGGTTGCTGGGAATTGAACTCAGGAACTTTGGAAGAACAGGCAATGCTCTTAACCACTGAGCCATCTCTACAGCCCACAGCTTGGGTTTTATTTTGTTTTGCACAAATGAACCCACAGTCCTGTGAACATTAGGGAATACTAATGCAGCTGCATCACAGCCTAAAATTATCTGTCTTTACAATCTACAGGATAAAGATGTTCTTGAAAAAGTACAAAACTAATGTACAAAAGTGTAAACTAATGCAAATGCAAAAACATCACCAAGAGAAACATACCGGTACATTATTCCTAGCGTGGACTCCCTCTGCTTTATTAAACTAACCCTGCCATCGCTTCCTCGCTTGTGCTGGTTAGACACACTGCAGATCTGAACAACAACTTCCCAAAGGTCCTTCGCAGTCCGCCGACTTTCTTTAGGGCCTGGAAGTTCTTTGCAGGTAGCTGCTAAAAGATGTCCAAGCTGTAATGTAAAAACCAAACAAAAATATATAAAAGAAAATCCAATTCACACGACAATCTTGTAAGAAGGCCACATTGGAATAATGACTGGAACCTACCCAAACATTCAGACATTTGTGCTCAGATTCCAATACAATGTTTGAGAACACTTCTTCCACCATATGGGAACCAGGGATCAACCTAAGGTGTCAGACTTGATGAAAAGTACCTTTTACATACTTGACTGAGGCCTCAGTCAAGATAAAATTAAGATACAGAAAGTGGCTGATCTAATTAAAATTGACATAAGGTCCTAAGATGCAGGACCAACTCTGGAATAAAGAATAGAACTGAAAGTGAACATCAGAGAGAAAAGGGCACCAAATAGGAGAGGGTTCAAGTTTAAATCAAATTCAAGGCCAATAAGATGGTCCAGTGGGGCCAGATTGTGGTGGCACATGCCTTTAATCCCTTCACTCAGTAGGCAGAGGCAGTGGGGCCAGGTTGTGGTGGCACACGCCTTTAATCCCAGCACTCAGGAGGCAGAGGCGGGCGGGTCTCTGTGAGTTCAAGGCCAGCCTGATCTACAAGGAGTTCCAGGACAGTCAGGTCTGTTACACAGAGAAATCTTGTCTCGAAAAACCAAAACAAGCAAACAAGATAGCCCAGTGGGATAAGGACTTGCCACGCAAGCCTGACCCTACCTGATTACCCCAGTATAATCCCTAAAGCCCATGTTTCAAAACAAAAAGTTAACGTGTTGCATCTGAACATCAGGATTCCTATGACAAAAGGGGAGGCAAAGAAAGCAGAGGCCCTGTCGGGGAATATTATCTTCATATGTGCAACTTTTGTTTACGCTGCATCTGTTTAACTCTGTAAAGCTGTGTTACTGTGCCTGTCTAATAAAGAGCTGAATGGCCAATAGCGAGGCAGGAAAGAGGAATAGGTGGGGCTGGAAGGTAGAGAGGATAAACATGAGAAATCTGGGAGAAAAAAGGATCTGGGAATGAGAGAGGAAAGAGGAAGACTTCAGGGGCCAGCCACCCAGCTACACAGCCAGACAGAATAAGAAAGAAGGGAAAGGTCTACAGGAATAGAGAAAGACAAAAGCCCAGAGGCCAAAGATAGATGAGATGATTTAAATTAAGAAACTCTGGTAAGAAACAAGCCAAGCTAAGGCCGGTTATTCATAACTAAGAATAAGCCTGTGTATGTGTGATTTATTCAGGAGATGGGTGATGTCCCCCAACCCCCCAAAAAATTCAAAAGACTACAGAGTCCAAAGAGCAAAACATCACACAAAAAGGCCCCTTGGAAGCTCTTCAGCCAGCTAGCCAGAGAATGCAGCATGGCAGGATCAAGCGCGTCAGAAAACCCAGTGCCCACCAAACTGGACCAGGAAGGTTTGTTCATGGAGTCCTACTATTTCAGGCAGCCTCTCTAGAAGGAAGGCAGGATTGGGACAAACGAAAACTAGTGTTTCCCCATTTGTTATAAAAAATTTCTAACAAAAAAATTCTAAATAGTTCAACAAACACCTGACCCTCCATACACTTCAGTATTTGCTGTGGCTAAGGTTTGCTCACAGGAGAGGTTAAGGCAGGAGAAGCTCAAGTGCAAGGCTAGCCTGGACTATTTATCAAGTTCAAAGCCATCCAGGTCACACATCAAAATTTGTCTCAACAGAAAACAAGGAGAACCTTAAGAGAGACATACATGAACTCCCCCGGGAAGGGGAAGTAGACATTATCTCCTTAGTAAATTGGTAGTGTGGGTAGAAGAGGAGTGGGGAGGGGAGAAGGAGAGAAGGGAGAACATGAGGGATTGGGAAGGTTGAGTTGGGTGACGGACAGAGAGGCAGAGCAAGGAAAGAGATACCTTGAAAGAACGAACCATTATGGGGCTATCAAGAAACCAGGCACCAGGGAAATTCCCAGGAACCCACAAGGACGACCCCAGCTAAGACTCTAAGCAATAGTGGAGAGGGTGCCCGAACTGCCCTTCCCCTGTAAGCAGACTGATGACCACCTTAATTGTTACCATAGAACCTTCATCCAGTAACTGATGATGGAAGCAGAAGCAGAGATCCACAGCTAAGAACATCTTGAGTTCAGTTATAGAGAAGGAGGAGCGATATTATAAGCAAAGGGACTAAGACCATGATGGGGAAACCCACAAAAGCTACTGACCTTAGCTAGTTGGAGTTCACTGACTCTGGACTGACAGCTGGAGAACCTGCATAGGACCAAACTAGGTCCTCTGAATGTGCACGATAGTTGTATGGTTTCAGTTTGTGGGGCCACTAGTAGTGGAACCAGAATTTGAGCCCATTCCCTGTCAGTGGAGAGAGATACAGGGAGGAAGGCCCTGGTTCTGCCTCAAGTGATGGGACAGGGAACTGGGATTGGTGTGTAAAATAAGATCGTTTTAAAAATAAAACACACACACACACCAAACAACAACAACAACTTGTCTCAGGAGGGAAAATGTTTTTCCCAAAAAAATCTTAAGCACCTTAAATCAAGTGAATTCTATAAACCCTCTTGAACACCAATTTAGGTAATGTATAGAACACAAGATATAAAATTAACTGCTTTCAAGAACTCCCTATCTCACAGACTATTATCCTACTGTGGGACAATGGTTTTGTACCCTGTAAAAATTTGTCACTTGTTTAATAAAACATTGATTGGCCAGTAACCAGGCAGGAAATACAGGCAGGGCAACTAGAACAGGATTCTGGGAAGAGGAAAAACTCAGTTCTGCATTCATGGCCCAGACACAGGAAGTAAGAAGAGAATGCCTCACTGATAAAAGGTACCAAGACACACGGCTAAGACAAACAAGAATTATGGGTTAATTTAAGATGTTAAGAGTTGTTGGGAGCAGTGAACCCCCAGATCCTGAATTTCTTGTAAGCAACTTGTTTTCCTCTGCTCTGAGACAGCCTGCAGCTGCTCTGAGCACGAGACCCTCAGGAGTTCCTGATGGCAGGAGAGTGGTTTCTGGTGGGTTTGGCTGGGGCGTGGCTATCAGTTAAGGATCCCTATAAAAGCAGCTCTGGTACACAATAAAGGGGGCATTCCTGCATCAAGGATGACCTGTGTCTCTGTCTGTGAGTCGTTGTGTGTTTCAATCTCCAGCCACTTGCCTGGTTCATGAACTGTATAGTAGCACATGGAGCGCAGACATGCATGGTGCGCTACAAGAGTTAGTTAATAAAAAGCCTGAACTAATAGGCCAACAAGTTTATAATTAATGTAGACCTCTGTGTGTTTCTTTGGGATCGAATGGCTGCAGGACCATGGCAGGACAGAAACCTCTGTCAACATTATACAGCATAAACAAAAATGTCAACACTGCTGGGCAGTGGTAGTGCACACCTTTAATCCCAGCACTGGGGAGGCAGAGGCAGGTGGATCTCTGTGAGTTCAAGGCCAGACTGGACTACACAGTGAGTTCCAAGATAGTTAGGGCTGTTATACAAAGAAACCCTGTCTTAAAAAACCAATCAGAAAAAAAAGAAAGAAAAAAGCTACTGTGTAATAATCTGTTTGTACACTGAGAAGCTATGTCACTCTGGCTGGTTTAATAAAAAGCTGACTGGCCAATAGCTAGGCAGGATTTCAGGGCAGAGAGGATGCTGGGAAGAAGGCCGAGATGCCAGCAGACACAAAGCAAGCAGGATGGGTAGTACAGAGATGAGGCAGAAAGTAAGCTAACAGAAATGTGTTAATTGAAGTTATAGTGCTAGTTAGAAACAAGCCTAAGCTAAGGCCAAGCTTTCATAATTAAGTTCCCACATTGCTTATTGTGAGCTGGCATCCCAAGGAACACCAACTATGGGAAATGCATGAGCCAAGCAGGGAGGGCCATCCCAGCGGACAGCATGTGCAAAGAACAGAAGAAGGAAAAGGTATCACGGAGCACCGTGAGCTGCCAGCAGAGGTGGCTGATGCAGAGGACAGGCACAGGACACACACCTGCCAAAGAAGCACTCACACCTTAAAAGGTCTATAGATCGAACTAAAATCCTAAGTGTGGGGCCCTTAAGAGTACTTACTGGCTACTCTTCTAGAGGCCCCAACTTCACTCCCAGCACCCACATGGTGGTTCACAACCATCCATAACTCAAGTTTCAAGAGACCCAATGCAGTCTTCTGACTTCTGTGGACACCAGGCACACAAGTATACAGACATGCATGCAAGCAAAACACCCACACACAGAAAAAAAAAAAAATGTTTCTTAAAACATAAAAAGGGGGGGGGCATGGGCTGGAGAGATGGCTTAGCAGTTAAGAACACAAGCTGTTCTTCCTGAGATCCTGAGTTCAATTCCCAGCAACCACATGAGATGGACTCTCATCTTCTGGAAATAAGTACATAAATCTTTAAAAGAAAACAAAAAACTAAGCTGTTTTCTACAAGAGAGCACCCCCGCCATCAGCAGCAGCCGTGGCCTCCTCCGAGTTGTGTGACGGATGACAGTAGACCCCGTGCCTGCAGTGCCTGCAGATCCTGTGCTGTGGCCATTTTACTGCAGTGTCTCCTTTCTGGTACAAGGAAGAGAGTAGACAGTTCATATTCATTCAGAAAGGACTATTTTAGTCATCTGCTGAGGAGTTTCCCTTTCCTTTGATTATATAGTAGCATTGTGTTAAGAGAAAGCAGGTTTTGCCCTCAGCCCACTAGTTAGTCACATTCTCAGGGATGCTTCTCTTAATAGATAATTTCTATTCATAAAGAAAACAGGGTGGGGATGGGAGAACGGAAGCTGCACACACATCTAGACCTCCACACTTGATAGGAACCTGAGATGGAAGATCATGAATTCCAGGGCAGTCAGATTTACATACTGAGACATTGTCACAAAGATAAAGTGCATGTCTAACAGAGAACACAGACATAGCTAAAGTCACTCAGTTCCTACCTCAGAAACGGACAGCATCTCCTCACTGTTCCACATTTTTACATACACACATCCCACATAAAATTGAAAGAAACTGCTCCAAACCATATTTTCAAAGCATAATTCTCACTCTATATCTCTGCTTCTTAGTATTATCAAAAGAGGAAGGGGCCAGTTATGGAAGGAGCCCTAATCACCTAACCACCAGGTAACTTTTAACAAGATCACCACAGTCTCCCTCCTTTTAGACTATATCAAGGGCCAGTAGGAGACAACGAGAAAACCTGTATAACCAATGCAATCAATCTACACACAACTTCCTGTGTCCTTACACATCACAAGCCAAGAACATTATTACACAAGCATGGGCCTGCCTGTTTCACATGGTACATGACCCCAAAGACTGCTAGAAGTCAAGAGAGGAGCTACTGTACTGTCTTAACAATGAGCAGCAAACTTCAATTCTACACAGAAACAATAATAACCATGAAAAAACAAAGTTCTGAGGGCCTATTATTAAAAGTCATAGGGAGAGTGTTGGACACAATCAAGTTACTCTGGGTATTAGAACTCTCAGATTCCAGAAAATTTACTAAATTCAGCAAATATCTGAAATTCCAAAGGCAATTTAAATGCACCAATACATTCATGAACTGTAAAAGAGGAAGAAAACTCAAGAATCTACAGATTTTCAAAGGGCTGGATTCAAATGAGCTCTAACGGGCTAATGAGCCCTGTTTTCCACCTGTTCAGAGTCTAACCTTAGCACTCAAACCAAGAAATGGTAACAAACCTCCTGCTACTTTACAATTACAGCAAAGTGTTTGCTTGACCTCTTAACTATTTGTATGTTTATATTATAAGGTATCAGAAAGCAGTATCAGAGCCAAGTTAAGTGGCTTGTGCTATCTATACTATAGGGTGCAAGATTACTGTGGTTTCATGTACCCTAGGATATGGCTCTAAAAACCGAGTTACGTTCCCAGCCCAAAACTACACACATTTCACTACAAACTGACAAGGGCTTGCCTTAACTAACATGGCAACATAGAAATCAGACAAATTTCAGAGTAGTGGAAACTAATAAAATGGGTACTAACGATATAAAATACCAGCACTCTGATAGCCATTTTAGCCTAAACATTAATTACCTTTACATATGGATTACTCTGAAGTAAAAATGCAGGAACTTGCAGGGTAAGATACTCATTTTCTCTCCAGTTTAGCATAAAAGCAACGCACTCTTCAGCTACAACTTGACGAAGAGGAATGTCTAAAAAGCAAGGAAAGAAATAGTTGAAATAGCGAAAAGTAGAGACAAGGGTATTTTGTCAGAAGTTCAAGGTCACCCTGAGCTACAAAAGACCTTACCTGTAAATAAGTGAACAAATAAATAAATGTACTAGAAATAATTTAAAATACAAAAGTAGTAAGGGAAGAAAAAAAAAATCACCAAAGTTTATTTTAAGCATTGTTTCCTTTGAAATAAATACACCAAAATATGTTGTGAATTTTTGTGACTCAAAGCAGTATCAAGATCATAATGTACTTTGGGAATAAGATATAATGTATCCTAAGTCACAATGCCCAGACAATGTTATGGAGAGACAAATGAATCTGGTGCCTGAGCCCAGAAGAGGCCACTGATCTCCTGGAACTGGAGTTATACCAGGCTGTAGTATACCATGGGGGTGGTTGGAACTAAACCCAGATCCTCCAGAAGAGCAGGTAGTGCTCCTAACTGCCGAGCCATCTCTCCATCCCCTCTCAACCCTATTTTTTTTCAGACAGTGTCTCTCAATGAACCTGCAAAGGCACCCTTACACTTGTTCGTCCTGGCCCCAGAAAGAGCATGCCTACCAACTGTGACTCTCATGGTGGCACTGACTCGGTCTACGCTGTAGTCAAATAACCTAAGCCCATAATCATGGCTCCGGCAAAGATAGGAACTGTATCCATGGGAAGAAAAACTCATTTCCTTGCTTTTCTCTGAACCGTTTGAAATAATACATATTTTTCTTCTCATTCTAAGCAGTAGTAATAGTATAAGCTATAGGAAAAGTTGCTGAACAGTTAGGTAAGCGTTTAAATAAATTATGTGTTGAGTGATGATCTACCATTTGAGAGAAAAATAGAGAAAGTGACGTTATGTGACGTTCCTATCAGTTCAGCAATGTAAAGCAGGGCTGGAGCTACAGCTGAGCAGTGAAGTGCTGGCGGGTGAGGCCCTGGGGACAATCCCCGTTCCCACCTAGAGGAAACACATCGAGCTAACAAAGAGCCCTGGCGCTAGAGCTGAGAGAGATCAACAACTGTTGAAAATCTGTCATTAAAAACTGTAGGTCCCTCAGGAAATTAGAATGTAATAACTACACTCATTTGTAACACCCCCGAGGACTACAGCTACTGCTGTTTGGACAAAGAGTTAACATCTTTTTCCACAATTCAAATGTACACATTAATTCCTGCAACTACATTTCAAACCTGTAAGATTAAGAAAGCACTTCACCTAACAACCACCAGGTGTGACACGGGTGTTGGTTTACTCTGTTCTGCTCCTGCGGGGAGCAGCCAGTGAGTCTCCAGCACCTTCTATTGCAGCAGTGAGACATTAGTCTTTATAAACAGTGCCAGCACAGTTAAGGACAGTCAATCCTTTTATACATTACACCTTTTTATATTCAAATAAAAATAATCTTTAAAAATTCACATCAAAATTTGTAAGAACTAAAACTCATACAACTCTGTGAGTTTCTCCCCAGTCAGAATGGTCGTTAGGCTTGCTATTCCTGT